AACCCATTTTCGACTAGCGAGACCCTCTCCGGCACCCAACAAAGTAATTATTTCCGCTATCACTTCCAGAGTCACCCGCAGATCTTCTTTCCAACCAATTACTACTCAGGCGACTGCCCGTGACACACACGCTTTTCGACCTCTACGACCACCCCTACTACTACAAGGATTACTACAGCGCTCACTACGACCTTGATCTCCCATACTACAGCCATGGTTACAAATACCAGGATGAGTATATCCTGCATCCTGATGTAACATCAACGAATCTCACTGTTGCGAACCCTGCATTTTTGCGGAACATTATGTCGGGATATACTACGGCATCAAGCAGTGCTCCATCCAATGGAGGTCCATCCAATGGAGGTCCACCCAGTGGGGGTCTACCCAGTGGGGGTCCGCTCAATGGAAGTTTGCCCAATGGAGTCCCATCGAGTGAAGTCCCATCCACTGGTCCTCGTAGTCCCAACCTTAGGCGAAAGGAGTCTCCGGATCGGCGCTGGTATTTCACTAATCCGCGTGGGCAGTGCTTCACCGTTCGTTCGCCACAACAGGCAGAACATTACAGGCCCCCGCCCTCGGATCTCTCTCGAAACCTGGTAGAGGGAGGTGTGATTTCGGGTGTCTCAAAAGCTGCTGCTGGCGACACTGTATTGTTGACCCACGACTACCTGACGTGGCTTCGGGCCGAGCAGTGGTACCGTAGGGCTTGGGTAGCCCGAGTAGGACAAGCCGTTTGGTATCACAGTGCTACCTACGCCTTCGGCTGGCCGGAGTACCAACCTTCGTCCAACACTCCGGCCCTGTTCGATTTACTTTCGCCAGTTCCCCTGAATGTGCTGGATAACCTCGACTCTCTCCACCTCATCGGTTGGCAAAGTGAGCTTGAACGCTGTATTCGTTGGCTGGAACTGGGAACCATTATCTCCGAGTTCATTCTCACCGGCACTTCTCAATACATACACTACTTTCACGGTTACACCGGAAAAGATGACAAGTGCGACTACGACGCCATTAAACGAACAATACCACTCGTGTACCCTCACGACCAACGGAGAACGAGAGAACGAGAAACAAAGGAACATGTGTCCCTGCAGTGCTTGTGTAAACCGGCAGACACTGTTAGAGCGGACACAGATCCAGCAAACACAATTCGAACAAATATCGATCGAACAAATATCGATCGAACAAATATCGATCGAACAAATATCGATCGAACACCCTGTCCTTGCCTGCGTCTGTTGGCTGAGCTGTTAGACGCATGTGTCCCTGAGACGACAAACGGTTTCCAAGTAAGTGGAGCTAGTGACCAGTACGGAACTGCTGGTCACCTGCGCCTGTTGACGGCTACCCTGAGTTTTGTGCTCAATATGCAGGGTGACTCCTCGGTTTCCTTTTTCGAGGTGGTTATTAGGGGCCTCGGAGGTCTAGTATCCGGTTGGTGGTTGACTGGGCACCCGGCGTTGAGCTACGTGGCTTGGGATCTTGGACATCGGCTTAGTTCCACCCTTGCTCGCTGTTTCATGGTCTCTGGGCCGTGTGTCCCACCGCGGGTTGCGCACCTCGGCTTTTGGGACACGGCCCTCGCCGATGGACCGCCTCTCGCCGAGAGCTTCTCCACCTCGGCCGCCGTTGCCATGTCCAACCAGCTGGAGTACCTGGCGCTGGCCGAAATGACGGGACGGTGCGAATACTTCGATCTCAGTCTTGCCAACATGCTAGGCTACCTTGACGTCACCGACTGGAACGGAACTCTACTCACCAAAACCCTCACCGTTAACAAAGACTACGTACTCAAGGGCCTCCTACACAACGCAGGGGCAGAAACGGATTCTGCCTATGAATATCTGATCAAACTTGCACTAGTACTCAACGGCAAACCAACCACTACCAACCAAGTCACTACCAACCAAGTCACTACCAACCAAGTCACTACTACAAATCAAATATTCCCTGAGCTTCTTTCCAACAAAATGTACTACTATATACCCGGCATCGGCAACATTTCCGGTGTTGGTAACATTTCCGGGACCGGTAACATTCCTGGCATCGACCAATCCTCGGTCAGATCCACAATCGAAGAAATCCTCCAGTTCATTTTGCCTGTACCGAATCACCGGAGCATGCCCGTGCCCAAACTGCCTTTCCATGAATACTATTCCGACCTCACCTTTCTGGACCTGGATACTCTCTGGACCATTCACCAAACACCCGGTAAATCAGTGTCACCGAGCTTTTTCCAAAGCCGAGCTGCACCGACGCAAGCTGCATCTACAAAGACTGCATCTAGTAAAGCTGCTACGACGAAAGCTGCTACCACAGAAACTGCACCAACCAAAACTGTATCCGGGAAAGCCGCTGTACCAGATCACCAGCACCTGGGTTGCTTCATCGGCGGCCTACTTCGACGAGCTCGCCACCTCCCGTTCCTCACCAACCAACTTCGAGACAAACTCACGACCGTCGCCGACAAGGTAACAGACGCCTGTGCAATTGCGCCATTCCTCACCCGTACAGGCATTGCCGGGGAGGACCTCCTGGCCCCCTCCCGAGGAATGCTGAGACCCGAAATCATTGAGTCTATTTACTACGCGGCTGTGGAACCAAACGTCGCTACAGAACCAGACGTCGCTACAGAACCAGACGTCGCTACAGAAGGCCGACACCGGTGGAGTGGTGGCCCTGGCTCAAGTGGTCGTGGCTCAAATGGTCATCGCTCGAGTGATCAACGCCAGGTCCTGGAGAGAGTAGGTCGTGAAAATCAAATCTGGGCACACCTTGACGCCATACTGAGCAACGGACAAGTCATGAACGGCTTGTGCAGTGTGGACGATGCGGATAAGTTCCCACCAAAAATATCGCAGTGTCGCCAGGAAACGTGGATACTGGCCGAGACTCTGAAATACTCGCTCCTGGCATTTGGAGAACACTTTGCACGACCGCGATTTGAACAGTGCCCAATGCGCGCTGCCCGGAGGGCCACCAAGTACGTACAAGACCATACTACGTCTCAACCGCCACGCCAGCAGAAGACACTGGCGCCACCGGTCTGCTCTTTGGACGACGAGCCATCCGAGTTCATCGCGTTCTTCAATGCCATCAAGCCTTCGCTGCGCGACTTCACACTGCCCACTGGAAAAAAAGTCGAACCACGAGCAGCGATCGTTGCACAGCTGGACGACAGCATATTCGCCGAGTCATTCCAGGAACTCATCGACCGAATGGACAGGTCGGTCTCCGACTTCGAGCTCACCACTGAGGCCCACCCCATATGGAGGAGCGAGGGCCTCTGCGCGCGCCCAAGTCCCCGTCCAAGCGAAGCAGGCGAAAAGCGGGTTACCAAGGGGCGCGGTTGGCTTTGACTTGGAATATAAAGACCTTTGTCCGGTAGAAGCAGTATAGTATGTGGCAGAGGTGGTGCAGGAAGTCTATGGAGACTGGATCGTCACTTGGACTGGCGGTTTGAGAGCCTGAGAAACCTCCAGGTTGACGGTTCGTTTGTGTGAGAGGGATCTGGAGCGCTATTTCGGCGACATCCATCTCCAACGGCGCAACAAGGACTGGGGGCACCCGGATGTCGGGGTTGGCAGTTTCGGGGTCTCGCGCCATGCCGACAGTTGTCAGGTGCACCTGTTTACCGGCGTTGGAGCCAGAGAGTCCGGTGCAGATCACGAGGCCGTTGACTTCAGTCACTGCAGTACTCTGGCGGAAGTACGCTACCGGTCGAGAGACCAGCAAGTCAGGAGGGTGGCAGGCCTGATAGAACTTAATCGGATATGCCAGCCGTCGGCTGTAACGTGATGGATACGAGCTCAGCACTCGTCGGATCGCGGATGCCACCCGACTACCCTCCGCCACACTACTCTCTTCGTTCGGGGGTGAAGGCAGCGCTGCATTGTTCTGGGACAGGGTCCCAGCAACGTTGGTCTGAAGCAGAGGCGGCAGGTCAAACACGGAAAGCCCACCCTCCGACCCGCCGTCGCCCGAACGCCCGTGATTCAGGATGGACGCCACACTCATTGTTTCGTTCACTTGGAAGTTTAGGCTAGCCATGCGGATGCCACAATCTTCATCAATGAGTTCCCAGTTGAATTTGCCTTCAACATGATTCCAGATATAGTGTCCGAATTTGGAATTTATGAAGTGGCATACAAATGGTACCCTGCCAAATATCGGTGAACAATACTCCATCAGCAGCTGACCAACTGGCGCAGCTAAAATGTACTGAGTCTCAAATGATGTCACGGCCGTCTCCAGGGCCAGGATGCTGTCAATGACCTTCTTGTGCTGGAAGGCTGGAGCCTCCACCAGATAAACAACGTTCTTAATCAGTTCTCGCACTCCAGCCAACGACTGGTACAAAAATATCTTAAAACAAAACCACTCCTTGAGCAAGGCTTTTGTTGCATCTTCGTCAATCGCACTGCTCACGAAGTTCGTCACAGCAAATTCAATAAACCCGTTAGATCGCTCTGCGGACCCACTCGTCGCAATCCACTGGAGTTCAACCGGCATCAACATATACGATTCCTTGTAGTTGCCTATCCGCAAGTCCAACAAACCGGTCCATTGGTATTCTTTCAAACCGCTCCCTTCGGCTTTTAATGCCAAGTCAAAGGCATTGTTCGTGCTAACTCTATTCCTCTTGGTCTGCTCATTCTTAACTTCGCTTTGCCTGACTCTCTTGCTCATTTAGGCGAGAATTGATCCAGCGCACACGCGTGCTGCGTCATGATTTTGGTCAACCATCTTCGCTTTTGAATCTTCTTCGATTCTGTTCATCAAGGATATACGCCAACATGTCATCCGCCGTACCTGAAGAGGCAGTGTTCAGTGGAAACAGTGTTGAACGGTGGGGTGTTATTATTACGTTTTTTTGGCATAAGGCGCGCAATAGCGAATCTCTCTCTTTTAGATTTATGCTCCGATCGTTTTCTTCTAGGCACTATGCTCTTCACCCGGAACGACAACGCCTTGGCAACCGCAGAACTAAAGAACACCTGATGAACTTTCGGGACGTCCTCTTACGCCATTATTTGATAGCTGATTCGATTGAGGATTCCTGATAAATTAGAGGCTTCGACGTTTACAAGGATGGAGGGGCTTAAGGCAACCTGGCAGTCTTTGATGTTGATGATTCCCTGGTAGGTGAGCAGCATTTTGATTGCGTGTATTTTGATCTGTTCAGCCAGAACCGTTTGATTTCGGTCGCCATTCGTTCTCTTTTCGGAGGATTCAACCTCCATCGGCGAAATATGGGGCGAGACGTAGTCTGCAGTGGGTGACTGGCTTGCCGGGTTGTTAGAGCCATCCGCTAATTGAGTGGTTTGAAGCAGCTGTTGCTCGACGGCTTTCAAACTCTCCAGCAAATCGCCACTGGGAGCGCTTTCTTCCTCGCCCAAGGGCGCGACAAAATAGTTGTGGATCTCAATAACGAGCTTCTGGCTCATTCTCAGCTCTACGGGTGCGATCCGGATGTCCATATAGTCGTAATGACAGTAGTGTTCGCTGCGACCTTCGCACAACTCGGCCTCAATGTGGGGGAATACTGGCCTCTTGTAGAGAGGGCGATCGTAGCTGCTGCACCCTCTTGCCATGGTCTTGAATGGTTTGTTGCTGTCCATGACATGTCTGCCTTCCATGAGATGGTGCCTGCCGCCTCCTTCTCCGGAGAATCGATTCTCCCCCGCGCGGTTATGGCCCATGAGAGTGGAGATGAGCCGCTTTCGCCTGCCTACGGACTTGGTCCTGCGCGGAATCAGTTTGGTTGCGTGGACTGAAGAGAAGACGAGGATCGGGTCGTCATCGTTTAGAGGTGCGAGAAGTGGACTCATATTGCCGTCATCGGAAACTAGGGGACTGCTGGTCATGAGCATAAGGTCTTGCAAGGCGATCAAGGTCCGCACGCGTTTAACGGGTCGTCCGTAGCTGTCGAAGCGGTCGGCGCAGCCCAGTTGCTGCCCCGCGGCTTGTTGACTAGCCTGCGCGTCCACCACCTGCACGTCTGCTTTTTCATGCGGGTTTTGGCTGTCGGTGCTGTCGGGCGCATGGCCGCTGGCTGCATCCCGTGGAGGGCAGCAGGTAGGCTCTTGGCCGCAGTTGAGGTGGCTGACGAGGACCCGAAGCAGCTGCAGATCGTCGCTCATAAAGGCGATGCTACCCTGGGCCAGGGTCACGCTCCAGGCCATGGGTGGACGGCTGTCGGTTGGGCCGTGCAATACGGGTTCGAGGAAGTCGCCTGACCGTTGGTCTGCGACCACCGAGCGTTGGTCTGCGGCCACTGAGCGTTGGTCGACTGAGCGTTGATCGACTGAGCGTTGGTCGAGCGAGCGGAAGTCGAGTCGTGGGTCACGATTGGAGCCGCGGAACATGGCGCGGGACACATCGTCCATGGAGCCTACGGAGAAGGCACGGGCGTGGGGCTCGTGGACGGTGATGTGTTCGACGTCCTGGGTCAGTTTGCGGGGGATGGCGGCGGCTCTGAGATTCCGGGTGGTAAAGGCGAGAGGTTCGGCGCCGAGTCGCGGGTCGTCCCGAGTGCGGGAGGATCCATCGAGTGCGGCCCGGAGGAGTCGACCGGGGTCGGCAGGAGGGTCTTGCGGTCGACGCCATGTGGCCTCGCTCAGGGTACCACTGGTGTCTGTGCGTAGCAATTTAGGTGCGTCCGGCCGCGGCGGTCGGTGTGCGAAGGCGGCGAATTGTGCGAACATGTCACCGAGGTAACGAGAGAGCGTCAACAACCGGGACGTCTGACGCCGATTCAGATTAGCCAGCAACTTCTCCACAGCCGCTGTCGTGTGCGTTATCGTGCGCTCCACGACCAGGTCCATTCGCGCCAACTCCTCAGCCTCCTTGGCCGAGCCGCGCAATACTAACTCCGGAACACTTACTGCCCATGCCCCGGCGCGACGACTAGCGTACACCGACGGAGTCTCCAATACCAACCCACCTGTCGTGTTCTGGAACGGCGAAGTCCGGTGCCACGGCTTCGCAATCACATGGTCCCGCTCCAAGGTCACGAAGAACACCATGTCCCCCAGCACTTCTCTTGGGATGGCACCGTTCCAAACCGGGTAGGTGTTGGGATAGTGATTACTTGGATTAGTGTCGCGATTACATGGGTTGGGGTCGCGACTAAACGGCTCTCTGCTGCAAGGTCGTCGCCAGTCAGGATCAAGGTTGATCTGGGTGATATTCAGCAAATGGAGGTGCTCGCCTGCCAGTTCCGAAGTAGGCCGGAATGCCCAGCGCCGTAGTGCCGACGGCGTGGGTTTGCCTTTGGTCGTCAAGAACGCCGTCTCTTGCACGTGGACAGCCACATTCCGCAGTGACATTACGACGGACAGGGCTGGTCGGGAGTCCGTCGTGTCCGCAAGCCCACTGGTCGGACAGCCGTAGGCCGCATCCCACCCGTGGCTGGCGCCGTGGCTGGCGCAGTTTCCCCTGTGCACGAAGCCGGTGGCCTCCGTTGGTAGGCACGTGTCGTAGTGCAGTCCAGTGTGCGCCCGCGCTGCTCCGTTCAGCGGCAGGTAGTTGCGGAGGAAGTGGGTGAAGGCGAGCACGTTACTACGGACGCAAGAGACGACAAGGGCAGGTGTGATGTGCATGGTAGCCGAACCGAGTGATAGGCGGCACTGGCCGCGTGGCTCGCGGGTGCAGAGGACGTCAACCACATTGGCGTGGAAGCAAGCGAGATGACTACATGCGGGATCGCTCACTTGCTGTAACACGCGAACGGAGCCGGCACTAGCCACACCCGGTTCGTAACGCAACAGCTTAGCGCTGATGTTGGTGTAAGGTCCGAGGCGCACAATCAACTGTTCTATGTTGCACTCGAATCTGCACCCGTCTGCCGGTCGCTGCTGTCCGGCCGGCCGCCGCGATTTTTCTTGCGGTCGCTGCGATCCCTCTTCCGGTCGCTCTTCTTCTTGGGGCACCTCAAGCGTGGGCCGGAGCTGGCTTCTGGAGTGTGAGTTAAGAATCGTGGGCGAGCAGAGGCTGACGGGTGTGTCGGCATTAGGCCCGCCTGAACGTGAGTCTCGGGGCGACGACAGGCTGAGAGAGTCGACGGCTCGCTCGGTCAACCAAGTGGATCGTTCCGAGCCGGAGGCGGCCCTCCGGGGGGCCACTCGGGAACGGCTTTTGCCGGACCAGAGATCCAGCTCGGGCCCGCTGGGGGATGTGGGTACGTTCCGTTTGGGTGGCAGTCCCTCTGGTACGTCGAGACGGCTGTGCAGCGGACCCTCACACTCGTCCTGGGCGCTGGTCATGTCGCTGGTGTGAAGCGCGAGCACCACTTGTTCAGCCAACGCAGCGTAATCCATACCCTGACCGGTAGTTGGTAGGTCGTGGTCTGGGGCCAGGTGGTCTTGACCAGGAGGTTCTTGGGCTGGCTGGTCTTGAGCCGGCGGGTTTTGAGCTGTTTGAGCTGCCTGTTTCCGGACCTGGTAGCCTTTCAGAATGGATGAAATTCGGTTCTGGATTTGCAGTAGGATGATAAGGGTGGACGGCAAGGGCTGTACTTCCAGCACGCGGCCTGTCACGGTCAGTTGTCGGTCCAGGAAGGAGAGGGAAAATGGTGGCCTGAGTTTAATCACTGACGTGCCGTACACCTTGAGACACAATAAGGCCTGAATGTTCAAGCAAAGAGAGGCGGTTGACTCGCCCGGGGGGCCGCCCGGCTTCGTCTTCTTTCGGGACTCTGCACACGCTTCGACCGCAGCGGCCGCAGAGACCGTGAGTGCTCCGTCGTAGAGGCTTACTTCAGAGTCTAAGAGCTGCAGCACCCACCTAGCCGGAGCACTCACAGGCGCTGTTCCAGCACGGCCGGGCACAGTCGGGGTGGACGTCGTGGTGCTGGACGTGGTCGTCCAAGCTGCGGCCGTCCCTGTAGTGGCCGTCGCTGTAGTGGCCGTCGTTGCGGTGGCCGTCGTTGCGGTGGCCGTCGCTGTAGTGGCCGTCGTTGTGGTGGCCGTCGCGGTAGTGGCCGTCGTTGTGGTGGCCGTCGCTGAAGTGGCCGTCGCTGTAGTGGCCGTCGTTGGCTTGGGGGCCGCTGGCAGTAGAGAGATGGGTTTGACGTTGCATTTGGAGCAAGCGGTAAAGAAGGCTGTGACCAGTCTAACCTGGTCGTAGCTGACCAGGTTCGCCTCCGGGAGTGCAAGGCGATTGCCTTGCAGGTTGAGCTCGTTGCTCCATCGTTCTTGTAACCAATCGGTGCCGGGTTCCGTCGAGGGGACGTCTTGACCGTCGCCCCTGGAACTGTCGGACTCGTGGCCAGAGTGGACCGGTCGCTTCGTGAACTGTTTGAAGCACTTGTATTGAATGCTGGCGACGCAAAACTCGTTGAACGGCTTCGCTCCTTGCAGCTTGAACTCTTTGGCGGTGACTGCCACCGAGTTGTAGCGCGGTTTGCAGACCCACACGTCTTGGTTGAACTGCGTACTGAGGTCCTTTGCGACAATGTTGAAACACTGTGGCTGCCAGGAGGTGATGAAATGTTGTCTACTGCCACGGGCTACGTCGTCGGACGGCTGTTTTTCGTCCTCGCGGCGGATGTCTCCAAGACTGTTCAGCAGCTCCTTCAACATGAGCACAAGCTCCTTGACCACCACCGGGTTGCGACACATGTCCGGTCCTAGAAGCTCCGCGGTGATCTCGTCCAAGCTCTTGACTGTTGCAGCGGTCACGGGAGCTCTCTGTCGTGTGTTAGCTCTCTCGGCAGACAACTCCCTCGGGCTCCCTCCCTCACAAATTCCTCCCTCACAAAATCCTCCCTTGTAGACCCTTCTCTCACAAATTCCTTCCTCGGAGATGCACCGCACCATAGACAAGTCGAACGGCACAGACCTTGACCGTCTTAGCCTAGAACACTGCGAAAAGTACTGCAGACTTGACCAATCTGTATCGGACCACTTGTTGTCTGACAACGTAGTGCCTGACAGCTGATTATCCAACCACTGGCTGCCTCCAGATATCTGATTGTCTAGCCATTGGTTGTCCGCAGACTGGCGAGGTTCGGCACCTGGCAGCGGGTTACCGTCCGGCCTGAGTAGGTCATTCACCGTCGACCGCTGCCCGGCTCGCTCCACGACTCGCTCCAAGACTCGCCGTTGCGCATGTCTTATTTCGCACTCGGTATTGAGCCAAGGAGTGCGATCTGTGGCTGCGACATCCACTGATGTCCGTGGCGAAGGCGCTCGCGGGGAATGTACTCTCGGAGAATGCACCCTCGGCGAGTGTGCTCTGGGAGAGTGGGCGGTCCCTTCGCGAGTCTTAACCCCGCGGTTCGAGGCGGGCTGCGCTCGCGGGGGGTTGTTCCTTCGGCTGTGAACTTGGATCTTGAACGCATCGCAAGTATAAGTTGACTGAGCCAGAGGAAAGAATGCGGGTCGAGTTCGTTTGGATACTGCGGCAAAGCAGTCTACGACTGCGGGAGGCGGGACGGAGAAGATGTTGGAGAAAGTGAGGAGTTTGGAGAGAGACTCCTCCATGTAGGCGCCGAAGTTGTCCAGAGGTTCTTCGACGTAGATGTTGAGGAACTGCAAGGCCACTGACATTCTCTTGATCTCGACATCGCAGGGAAACTCCGAATAGTAAAGCTCATTCACCGCCTGGGGGTTCACGACTCGGCCGTCCAGAATACTCGCGCGACCCCCGAGACCAGCCGGGACGGACTTGGCGGTGCCGTACCAAAATTCGCCTCGGCCAAGCAACAAGAAAAGGCGGTGGTACTCACAGGCACGTGCTGTGTCCGCTCTCACGTACGTATGGTTCGTGCGCTTGTCCTTGATGAAATGAACCCCTTCGAAACGCCAGTGCCGGGGCACCAGAAAAGACCTTGAACGGCCGTCGCATACTCTGGCACCAGCCAAACCCAGACGGGACGGTTTGTGGTCTGAAGGCTCCAAGCTTGAAACTTCAAGGTCAGAAGGTTCATTGCTCACTGGAGGCTTTGTATTGCTGGTCGAGTCGCCAGCCAGATCCACCCGCACTTTGTTCACAATTAATGCTATGTTCTGATCCAGCCCGCCCCTCTGACGGAAATGGTTGAATGCCGGACAATGCTCCTTGTACAGAAGGTTTATGTACAATATTATCGTGCCACTCCAACAAAGGTTAGCAAGCCAGGTCAGAGTGCCGATGTCCCCTGATATGTAGCAGTAGTCCAACGCCACCTCCGAGCGGGAGTAGTCGTACGGAGTATAGTAGGTAATCCCTGTAGCCATCACGCCATACTGGCTAAAGGCGTCCCAGGGGTCCCTTCCATCCGCCCCAGCTCCGTGGTCCGTCCCATGGCCATCCGGTGTCGTGAAGAGACCGGTCTTCCCCTCGGGTCTCCCGTCCGGTTTCCTATCCGTTATCCCATCCGGTATTCCATCCGGTATTCCATCCCGCGTTCCATCCGGTATTCCATCCGGTATTCTTTCCACTTTACTTACCCTCACACACACCCCACCGATTACAGGACTTAGATGTACGGTGACATCAGTTACTACAAGACTGAGGAGTGGCTCGGTGCCCGTCGGTTCCGGTACCGTTTCCGGTACCAGATGATGTGAGGTGGCATCGGATGCTAGGGTTGCAAGCCGAACGGTAATTTGGTCTACCCGGATGTCGACCAAACTGTTGTTGAGAAGTCTGGACACGCTCCAGGTTGATCGGAGACACGATATGGTTTTTATTAGGTCTGACGTCCGCTGATTGGTGAGCCAAGGACACCGTTTGCCCAGTTCAATTTGCTCCCGATTCTTCGCCATGAGCTTCGCAGACTCAACATACGTCGCTTCCCGCTCCGGAAGAGGCTTTTTGTTTACTCGATAGCAACGATACAAATGATTGGCGTATAACCACCAGAGGTACGCATCAATGCCACAGCCCAAGTAAGACGCAACAACCTCCACTGTGCCACGCACCTTCATGGTCACGCACTGACGATTCCGACCAAGTCCTGATAAAGCTTTATCCAGTCGTATTGAAGGCGGCGAATCGTGGCTTCCGGGACGACTACCTTCGGGAGACCGAACTTCCGTGTTGTCGGCACATACTGGGCGTCCGTCTGCGGCTACTGGATGAAGATCGTCAGTCAGGCGACCTTCAGTTCCCGTAAATCTCAGGTGCCAGCAGTCATAGATCAGCTCAGTGTGGGCCACGCCGTTATGACGGAGCATCGGATACCATTCATCATGTAATTGTGCGCGAACATGATGAACAAATTTCGGTATATAAGTGGGATAGAATTGGTGGGGTATGGTGCGGCGCTCAGTGTTTCCGGCTTCTCCCACCACTGCATCTTCAGTAGTTGTATCCGTGGCACACGGATCATTCCAGAATAGTTTATTGACTTTTACCAGGACGATGGTGTCCACTAAATCTAGGCCCCACTTGTACTGCAACAAAGGTACTTTCACAGGGTCCCAGCTACGGCAAGATGCGCAGCTGACTTTGTGACTAACATCTAGAGTTCCCGCCTGCACTTTTGTCGTTATCTTCACAGCACTCGGAAGAGTGGGCTCCGCCACTTCCAGCTCAATCGGTTTAGCAACTGACAAGCTCCATTTACTCCACAACAACGCGTTGTAAGGTAGTTGGGATTCCCGCTTCGGCCTCTCGTGGCAGAAGCGCAGGTATGTGAGCATCGTAGTCCCGAGATCTGTGCCAGTAAATTGTCCTGAGATCTGCTCTATAGCCACCCGGCAATCATCACCGGTCAGGCGCTCATTCCTACCTTTTGAATCTGCTTGTTTGCTGCGGGTACTCCTCCTGTGATGCTCGCTCTTGCCGCACTGGCTGCACTTGCATTGGAGAGAAATCTGTTTTACGGTTAGGGTGCTCTCATTCACCAACACGTTTAAATCCTTGGAATCGACCAGCAGTTGACTGACACCAGAGACAAGTATGTGAAGGTTAGAACCGCGGCAGGACGCTCTCCAGGGCCGGGTCACATTCTCCACCTCGGTATAGGTGTTACCTGTTACCGGCAAGATATCGGGATCAGGTTCATACTCCAAGTCTATACCGTAATTTCCAGCTACGACCTCAACGGCTAGATGACGCAACGCCAGCAACGCCACTGACTTCCCCATTGGCTTCAGCGCAGCCAACCACTTCCAACGCCGGGAGACAGTGCCCTCTTTCTCTGTTTCATCCTGACCTCGAGAAAACCCTATTACCTGAGATCCGCCCACCGACTGGGATCCGCCCACCAGCTGGGATCCCCCTAGTGACCGGGATCCGCCCACCAGCTGGGATCCGCCCACCGACTGGGATCCGCCCATCGACTGGGATCCGCCACCGACTGGGATCCGCCTAGTGACTGAGATACACCTACGG